AAGGCATCAATTCTTTGGCGCTCAGCCTTTTTTATGGTCCAGCTCTCACAGCCATACATTACTACTGGAAGAGAAGGTGTTAAGTTACTGCAAATGTTTATACTTGTTTGGAGGGAGGGGGAGTCACTTTTTATATGTCTTTCCTTTCCTTTCCTTTCCTTTTTTCTCTTTCTCTTTCTCTTTCTTTTTTGTTTGTATATCTTTTTTAGTTCTGTATTAGCTTTTATCAGTGTAAAACTTTGATAAAAATATTATTTAAAAATATTTCATGTGTTTTCCAGCTACATTCTGCGTTAATCATCAAGATCAGATTTACAGATTTGATCATTCTTTGAATGCAGAGGCTTTTACATATCTTTAAAATCTGCTGAGGGAGAACCCTGATTGTGTTTCATTCCATGGAATCTGCTGGGGGAGAAGTTTGAGTTTGCTTACAGTAAAAGCCTCAGTTTAAAAGTCTCTATGCCAGCATTTTTTTCTGTTTTATTATTCTTTATTATTATTTTACTAATCAATTATATTTTGATTAATTTCAAGGTAGAGAGTCTGGGCATACTGCCAACTCTACTGTTTATTTTTAGCACACAGTACCTTTCCTTCAACTAGTAATGTTTGAAACTGTTTTGTAATTTTCAGTGTAGGAAGAGAGATGAAACCACTTCCCTTTGGGAAGTTGTCAAATTCTGTGATTTTTTTTTCTTTTTCTTTTTTTAGGATTCTTTTTAATCTCTTTAATAATGTCGCTTGTTTTTTTATTTTTATGCACATAATCACATTTTTCTTTTTTTCTTTTAAGTATAGATTCTATATATACATAATAGAATGGTATTTGAATAGTAAATTGAGTCTTTATGGAGGTTCTACATCTGTGAGCAATACTAGAAAATATGGTAAATATTTAAACATAGAAATGTTTATTATTAGATATTTATTAAATGGTACAGGTCATAAAATGAATTGGTATTGGAAGAATATTGATGAGTGGGCCAAAATAAAATTAATGGATGAAGTTAGTTAGTCTTAATGTAAAAGAGTTGTGAGAATCTAAGAAACAAAATGGAATCTTAGCATATTTAAAATCATTAAAGGCAGATATTGCTTATCTCCAGGAGACTCATTTAATGGAACAGGATAAATCTTTATTAATGAAGGATTGGGTGGTTTACCTCACAGATACTTCAACAAAAACTAAAGATGTGGCCATTTTGGTTTGAAAAGGATTCTCCATTGATGTACAAGTTATCACTGATGGAAATGGGCATTATTTAATTTTATGTGCTAAAATAGCAGAGACTGCAGAAGCTATGGTTAATATTTATGGACCAAATTTAGATTTTCCTATTATGTTTTATGAATTTCAACCCCTGAATGCATGTATTTATGATAAAGTGATAATAGGAGATTTCAGATCCTGAGCTTGATAGAAATACACTGACATGGAAAAAACTGTCATTAGTGAGGGAAACAATTAAGACTTATATGGAAGAATTGAATTTTATAGACCTCTGGCATTTGATATATCCAGCTAAAAGAGAATATACATTTTATTCAAATGGGCACCAGAATTTTTTTAGATTTGATTATTTTTTAATATCATCAAACTTATATCATCAAATTCAAGAATGTATTATTGATGTTTGTAATGTATCTGATCATAGTGCAATCACCTTGAAATCTGTGTTTCAGAAACTGGTTAAGGTATTGAGAAATTGGTATTTCAGTGTTTCCCTATTGGATGATAAAGAATTTGTATAACAAATGCAGGTAGAGACCTC